TTTATTCTGACCGATTCACTCGATTCCGATCCGGATCGCCAATTCGCCGATCCGGATCTACTATTCACCGATCCGGATCGATTTTTGAAAAGCCCGATCCGGGTCACCGATCCGATTTTTAAACCATTGGTCTCATCATAAACAATCTGATTAGTTTAAACATTTCCCTATTAATTGAAAAAGGGGTAAGGCCCAAATCCCCAATGATTTATTCCAAAAAAAAAAAGGTTTAATCATTTCAACATTTGGCAACTCTTCACGTTTAAACGATTCGTTCCCTCTTTTAACTCAAACCAAACAACTTGGTTAAGGGGACTTGCTATTGGTGAAACTTATATAGATATCGTGATATATGTTATCCCATACATAGACACATTTTATTATTCGACTTAGATACGAGTCTTAGAAATATCAATTTTATGGTTGAGTTTTTGGCCACAACATTAGATAGTTTTCTAGTAAAATTTCATAAGAAAAAAAAAATCTAAGTTTCTAAACTGTCAGAAACATATGTCGAGTCCTCTGTGTATCTAGCATCAACATTTGCAGGAAAAAAAACTATAAAAATACGTGTCCACATTACATAGGACTCTATTTTAAAAACTTTATTTTTTTAAGATGTATCATAGATGTGTTGGTACTGCATGCTGAGGACTTACATCTTGCAATGCAACATAAGGTTCCTCTATACGTATGAATTCACCCATGATGCAATGGTTATATTTCCATTATGCCCTTAAGGCACACATGACTATTCACTAACATCCATGGCTCTTTTATTCAGGAGTTACTTGGAGATGGAGAATAGGCTTAAGATTTTTGTATACAAGGAAGGTGAGCCACCTCTGGTCCATGATGGCCCATGCAAGAACATCTACACAATTGAGGGGAGGTTCATCCATGAGCTTGAACTGGGCACAAGTAGCTTCCTAACAAAGAAACCAGAGCAAGCCCACCTCTACTTCTTACCTTTGAGTGTCACACAAATGGTGACTTACCTTTACAAGCCCCTCTCCTATGACCTAACACCTCTCAAACGCTTTGTATCAGATTATGTGAGCCTCATTTCCTCTAGACACCCCTTTTGGAATGCTAGCCTTGGAGCTGACCACTTCTTTCTGTCTTGCCATGACTGGGTGGGTTTCCTTCTTTATTTCTTCGTGTTTCCTTTTTTTCTTTTTTTTTTTTTTTGGTACCATGAATTGTTGGGTTTACAAAGCCTAGCACACTTGTTTCTTTTGGGGCACGTTGTTTTCATCATAAAGGATTTCTAAGGGCTTAGGGAGAGTCTATTCCAAAAAAGAGCTTTCTGTCGCTTAGGAAAGCGTTTCCATAAGCGGCTTACATACATGGAATGCTGGGAAAGGTTGGGAACAAACTTCCCAGCTGCTATAATGCCTCTTGCTTTCCCATGAAACAGATATGGGAAAGTGGTAGTCTAGTGGATTAGAACTTTCTCATATAATTCCTTCCCTCAAACCAATTGTGCCTTTTTGGTTGACTTTTTTTTCTTCTTATGTTTATTTGGTTTGGGGATTAGGTTATCGGGGTTGGAAGATATAATCTTGTGGTTAAAATTGGGTACAACAAGCAACTTCACATTTTTTTAGAGGTTTTCAAATTAGAGATTCTTAAGTTTTGAATAAATATTTCTTTTAGTTTCTTACTATTTGTGTTTCAGTGAATTAAGCCTATCATTTAAGATGTGGGTGCTCCTAATGTGCTTTAAATGTTTTAATAACGCTTGCTTAGGAGTAGCAAAGTTATCCTACGGTCCCTCATAAAAATTAATCACCCTTCATGTGCTATTTGATTGATTTAAAATTAGGGTATTTTAGGTATATGTATGCCCACAATTTCAAGCCATAATGTAGGTTTTCTTAGCTTATATTGAGAAGAATTTGCCAAGAATTGTAGCTACACTTGGGAACATAGAGTCCCCGCAATTATTAATATTATTTTTGGGGTAGTTCAGTGGTAGGAATTGAACTTGAGATGTAGCATTGCTTGATGTGAATGGTTAAGTACTCGAGGCAACTTCCTACGTCCCTACAATTCTGATCATGACAAATCGCCGAGGAGTTCATCTTTCTTCCATATGAATAGAATTCCTAAACTTTCAATCTCTTAAAAATTTTCAATGAAGAGAATTTCAGCCTTTTTTTCACCAAAAATACACAAAAACCATTAATTAAGCCGCCATCTACTCCAAAATCCTAAACATTACGTGTTTTGTTAGCTTAACAAAATTTTGCAGGCGCCGCACGTATCACGATCCAACCACAATCTCTATAACACCTCTATCAGGGTCCTCTGCAATGCAAACACCTCCGAGGGCTTCAACCCATCCAAGGATATAAGCCTACCGGAGATCAACCTCCGCACCGGAGAGCTCCCTGCCCAACTACTCACCCCTGCCGACCCGCGTCATCCCAGACCCATCTTGGCATTCTTTGCAGGAGGGCTGCATGGGCCAATTCGTCCACTCCTCCTACAACAATGGCAATCCAAAGACCCCGACATCAAAGTGTACCAGTATTTACCAAAAGGGCTAAATTATTATGATTTAATGAGCAAATCCAAGTATTGTTTGTGTCCTAGCGGTTACGAGGTCGCGAGTCCCAGAGTTGTAGAGGCCATACATAGTGGTTGTGTGCCAGTGCTCATTTCAAACAGCTACGTCCTACCATTTAGCGATGTGTTGCGATGGGAGGCCTTCACAGTTAGCCTATCACTGTCCGAGATACCGAGGGTTAAAGAGATTCTCGAGGGGATTCCAGAAGGGGAATACCAGAGGCTGAGAGAGAATTTGGGGAGGGTGAGGAGGCATTTTGTTCTAAACCAGCCAGCCCAGAGGTTGGATGTGTTTCACATGGTGATGCACTCGTTGTGGCTTAGGAGGCTTAACTTGCGAATGCCCTAGTTTCATCATTTATTTTTTTATTTTTTTATTTTTTTTTTATTTTTATTTTTTTTTGGGGGGGGGGGGGGGGGGAAGGGGGTTTGGGGCTAATGTGGTTTTGGCTGAAAATTGGTTGAGAGGGTGCTTTTATTAGGATACAAGGAAAAGAGTTTATAATTGGTGCCTTTTCTTGAAAGGATATAAACCTTGTTTGAAATGCATTTTCTGTCTACTTTATTCTGATCTTTCTAATATGTACCCAAACCATTCTTTACTTCAATATGTGTATGTTCTCTAGTTCCTATTCAAGAAAAAGGCAACTTTTTTCCTCTCTCTCAAACCTGTGACAAACTTGTGGAGGTCAAGTTTAGTTTTTGTTGGAGGGAGATTCTCACCTTTGCTTTGTGAACCGGTCTTCTTGGGCCCAAAAACCAAAAGACACTGAATGTCGGCTTTTCATGGCATGAAATTGAGGAAAAGCACAGATCCCTTACCCAAACAAAAAATAAAATCTTTCATGGTTGCCACTCAAATAAATTTTTTCAGCCATCATAAAAGTGCAGGGTGTTGTTCAAGGAAACAAAAAAAAATCACATTATCATTTGCCATTGGTATAAGGAGGTTAGAGTTAGATGTGCCACAAAGTCTAAAATAATATTTTGTATTTTATGATTCATTTCAAGTTATTCTCATTTCAAGTTAGTGGACTTCGCATCTTGCTGGATTTTACATCAAAGGACTCCCAATGACTGCAAATTTGTGACCTCCCACCAATTTGGGATAATCTTACAGTATAAAATTTCCTTCCGTTTAACATTGAGTATCTCAGCAACTCAGCACAAGGAACGAGGGGCAATTTAGCATTGAGTGATTTGTGTATGGACCTTAAAAAATTTTCTAAAATATGAAATGCTCCGTTTATAGTTGAAAATTACAAAGAAGGTCGGTGAACCCACTTTTATTTAATTTTTCCAAAATTTCCTCTCGATCCTCTGACCGAATTTTAGATTTTTTTTTAGTTTTTTTGTTAGTTTTAATTTTAGTTTTAGTTTCTCTACTAACAAATAAATAAAATAAAATATGGTCTAAGGATGGAATCTTCGGACCGAGGAGCAATTTTTAAAAAAATAGAAAAAACGCAGCGACCGACCTTGCTTTTTGCATTTTAGAAAAAAAAATAGATCCATACGTAAATCACTATTTACATACATCACAACCATCTAAAACCCTAAATTTGATATATATATTTTTAGTCATTAGTCAAATTCGTGTCTATTGTGACGGTGAAACTCACCAAATTGAATGTGGTCATGCTGAAGACCATTATATTCCCAAAATAGGCTCATGAATAGACCATTATAAATGCAACTCTAGGGATATGTTGGCCGAGATACTTACTGGTTTAGCCATCAAATTTGAGTTTGAGAATACGAGGACAATTATTTTAGAGCTAGCACTGGCAAAGGGCAAGGCCTAGGCCAAGCCAGCCTTGGTCCTGGTCCTTATGGGGCCACCCTGAGCCCGGCCTAGCCTGGACCATGCCTAGGAGGTCCTGGCCCTATTATGGCCCTGCTGGGCTAAATGCAATCAAAGCAAAAAAGAAAGGAATAAAGAAAAAGGGTGGGGGGTGGGCACGGGGCTGGCCCTCATCCAGCCCAACTCTTGCACCATGGTAGCCCGGCCCTCGCGCTATATTTTGTGGCCCAAGCCCTAGGTTTTTAGGGCTTGACCAACTGGACCGGTCCGGGCCACCGATTGCATTGCCACCTCTAGACAGACGAAACGTGCCCTCCCTTAAAGGGTTTCGAATCTAAGTTGGCCTCCGGATGGAGTTTAAGGTAGCGGCAAGAGACGTTTGTTTGAGGGAGTTATAGGAGTCCAGGAAGAGAAGGTATAGGACATTTTCCAGTGTGAACATGCCATGGTATTTTGTTAGACTTCTGTGACAAAGATATCATGTTTTCTTTAGTCATACATTGGTCCACGACTAAAATTTTTGCTACTTTATGTATCCACATTTGATTGTAAATCTTTGGATCTCTATTAGGCCTAGCGGGTCTATGTTTTATGGTGTGTGGATATGGACGGAGAAGGTCTCCATAATGTGGTGCTGTGAAATTTTATTAGGATGGAATTGGTTTTGGATTAGTGAGGAATCTAGTCCAATCAAATGGTTTGACCCTCAGTTTTAACGGCGCAACAAAAGATATACCCAATAGTTTGAAAATATGAACTATACTACAAATAAAATTGCCCACATTTGTTGTCTAACCAGTGAAAACTGGTAGGATGAGGCATCAGTTGGACCGGCCAGTCCAGTTCGATCTTGATGATTATTGTGCTATGTGTGCATATCTTCATTTTTTTATATGAAGAATGGGCTATCTTTCTTCCAGATAGTTGTTGCTGTGGAGCACAGTATCAGACTACAGTCCTGAGAGGTGAAACCCCGAATTCTTACCTTTCATAGCCGTTTTATTGGGCCAAATAGAAGAAATAAAAAAGTAAGTCAAAACAGTGGTTCACAAGGTGAGATCGATTTGGCTGATTAGCCGAATGAACATCTGGCATGATAATCGCCGGAATACTTGAAGGATCATTAGAACTGCCCACATTAAGTGAGACAACCTCAGATCGGACCCAAAATTTGCAAATCCCTTTTGTGATGATGGGAAGTTAGCCTTGGCCAAAAAAACAAGGAAGATCCGAGCCAGTGGCATGCCCACGCTGATAATCGCACGCACAAAAGATAGCACAATCAAACCTTGGTCAAACCTACTCAAAAAAGTAAAATGAGGGTCTTGAACTTTAAGCTAAGATACCCCAAGTATACCCTACAAAACTTGGGCCAATTTAACAGGGGATGATCAAAAGCCTAGTGTGGTTGCCTAAATTGGCCCTCAATTTACAAAAGAGCCCTCTGACACCCATGGCCAGATGATAGAATCGACCAGATCAGCCGGATCCGGCTTTATAAATATTTCAAATAACTCAAATATTTTAACAATCTACCAATTTCTTATGTTTCCAAATTAATTAGGGTATGGCATTATACATTTTCATTATTTCATCGAAAATATGTAAATATTGAGAATCTGTTTCATGTGTGAATATTTGTTGACCATGACATCTATTTCATATTCAAAATGAAGTTTAAAATGTGACCTATTGTAATAAATTGGACATCTCTAACTCTTTTTTCTTTTTTTTGATATTTTTGTAATCTCCATTAGCACTTGCACGTGTGTGAGTGTAAAAAAAGAAAATCCCAATCCAAGAAAGAGACCTAATGAAAAAAATTTAATTCAATATCATGTTTTCTATTATATCTATTTTTATTTAATTTTACTTGCATTAAGTTTTTCGAGTACAATGGGGAAATGATCATTAGATTCTCATACAGTGAAACAAATTTACAAAATTTGAGGATGTTATATAATGTTATGCAGGAGGTTAATTTATTAAAAATTCGAATGAAAAAAAAAAGGGAAAAATAAAAAAAAACAAAACAAACGTTGCCTCAATTCTCTTTGTTAGAAAAGTTTCACTGAATAAGCTATTACAAGTTCAAAGCCTTTACTAATTATTTCACACATCACCAAATTCATTCGTCGTTTGCGAAACTTTAGTCCCACATCTAAGGCACGTTTGGTTTGTGTGAAATTGTTTTCTAGAAAACATTTTCACATAAAACAATTCTCTCATATGGTAAATGTATAAATATTTTCATATTAACACACCTATAGGCAACTAATTTGATGTAAAAATAATTCCCACACTTAACCACATGAGACAATTTTTTCATATGAAAATATTTTCTGGAAAATAATTTCATGCAAACTAAACGTGCCTTAGTATCCAAAGCTTCTTATTTTTTGAGAAAATATCTCCATATCCCCTATGATTAGGTTTCATTTCACAATAGACCCAAGGTTTTAAAAGATATCTTGGGGCATAAAAATTGTAGATTTTATTTCTTCAAACCCCCTTAATTTATTTAAACCTATTTTTTTAGACCAAACAAATCTAAAAAAACATGATTTTTCTAAAAGCCATCCTCCCAAACTTCTCTTTCTCTCTCTCTCTCTTTCCATCTTTTCCATCTCTCTCCTCTCATTCTCTCTCCTCCCACTCTCTCTTCCTATTTTCTATCTCTTTCCCCTCACTCTCTCTCCTCCCAAATACACAGTATACAGAGAGAGAAAGAGAACATCAAATAGAGAGAGAAACAAGAGAGCACAAAAAAAACTACTCCCGCATAAACCTGATCAGCTCTCCATGACTCCCTGAATCTTATGGATCAGAGCTTCTTCAAGCAAACCTTGACCCTCTCTCATGAGATCTATGCTTAATCTCATTGAGATAATCTAAACCCAAAAGAGCAGAATTTTCCTCAAGCTCTCAAATGTTATCATACCCTTCGATGGGTTGGCCAAAAGCATGAATCTATTGAGCTCCGGCTTGAAAGCATCGGCTTTGAGCTTTTCGGCCATGATAGGAAGCAAATCTTCATACTCCATTGCTTAGTTTTGACCCATTTTTGTCTTTTTTTGCCATTTTTACCATTATTTTGCTGGAGAAAGAATGGGGCTCTTGATGGTGTTTGTTGACAAAGAGGTTTGGATAGACGATTTATAAAAGAGGGAGAGTATTTTATTGGGGATTTGGACTATTTTGACCTTGATTTGTGTAAAGAGGAATTATAGAGATATTTTGAATTGGTGTTATGCAGAGGACTTTCATAGATTTCACGGAAGTGAAAGGTTATCGGGAGGAGAGAGAGAGTCCAGGGAAATACGTGAGGAGAGAGAGTGAGAGAAGCACAAAAGAGAGAAAAAGAGAAGTTTGGGGTATATATGTGAAATGAGAGAAAGGATTGAGTTGGATATCACGGACGTGAGAGGTTACCGGGAGGATAGAGAGAGGTGTTTGGAGAAATACAAGAAGAGAGAGAGTGAGAGAGACTCAAGAAGAGAGAGAAAGAAAGAAGTTTGTGGTATATAAGTGAAGAGAGCAAAATG